ATATATAAATAACCATGGAAGGCCAGAAGAACGAACAAATCTGTCTTGGAAGACATACAGCCAGAACGCTCCTTAGAAGCAAAGATGGTGAAACTTCATCTTACATACTTTGGATGTGTTATTAGGAGGGTCTAGACCCTGGAGAAGGACATCAAGCTTGGTAAAATAGACAGTGAAAAAGAGGCAGACCCTCAACAAGGTGGAATGACACAGTGGTTGCAACAATGGGCTCAAGCATAACAATGATTGTGAGGATGGCATAAGACTAGGCAGTGTTTCGTTCTGTTGTACATGGGGTCGCTGTGAGTCAGAACCGACTCAATGGCACCTAACAATAACAACAACTACAACAACCATGTAGGAAATATTAGACAGGCTTCAAGAGACTTCGGTTGAGATAAAACAAGCTCACCATCCTCCTCATAAAACTTTAATATTGTCAAACTAAGACAAACATCCTAGAAGAAAACATCTTTTGAATTCTAAGATAGCACTAAATGTGAATGCTGCTCCTAATACAACATTTAAAAATGAACCAGGTTGTTACTGACTTCTTTAAAAATAAAGCAGAATATTTAGGTAGAAAATAGCAAACCGTTGATAGCCATCAGTACTGCAAAAAAGTTGGATGAGTTTCCTGTAGCTTCCCGGTGTCATGATTGAAATAAATATCTCTTTAAAAAATAAAGTAAAATAAATTACAAAGAGAATGCCTTATTTCATAGTTTAAATATATTTAAATATAAAATATATATACGCATTAATGCGCATGTAACCCTATGGTTTTCCTTTTTGTCTTATAAAACAGATGTACAATATACGTGATGATTAGAATTTATTTGCCCATCCTTTTTGTTGTAAAATTAACTTTTTTTTTCCTTCACTAACCACTTCTACTCTTTCAGATCACCACCACCATATCAATAGGGTTGAATTTAATTAGTGAACAAGTTTCTGAAAAATCCTGGGATGAGGGAAGAGATGGAGGGTGGATCAGTGAAATAGATGTCTTCTTATAATACCAGCCAAATACTTTTTAATCAAATAAGATGTTTCTTATTCCTGTATCAAAAGAACTAGAACATCCTGTTGCTAGTGCCGAGGGGGTCCAAAAAAATCAAACAAACAAAAAAAACCCCATTGCCCTTCAGTGGATTCTGACTCATAATGACCCTGTAGGACAGAGTAGAACTGCCCATAGGGTTTCCAAGGCTGTAAATCTTTACCAAAGCAGAATGCCACATCTTTCTCCCTTGGAGCCGCTGGTGGGCTCCAACTACCCACCTTTCAGTTATCAGTGGAGCGCTTAACCATTGTGCCATCAGGGCTTCTTAAGGGGAGGACATAGGTACCTAAAATATATCTTCTCTCATCTTTACGTTCCAGTAATCTCTGAATATTATTCATCCCTATTAAAAGCTGGAGGAGGTGGAGAAAGCTGCTGATGAGAGCAAGAGAGGTATGAAAGTTATTGAAAACCGGGCCTTAAAAGATGAAGAAACTATGGAACTCCAGGAAATCCAACTCAACGAAGCCAAGCACATTGCACAAGAGGCAGATCGGAAGTATGAGGAGGTGGCTCCTAAACTGGTGATTGTTGAAGGGGAATGCACAGAGGAGCGAGCTGAACTGGCAGAGTCTGGTAACCGAGAGATGGATGAGCAGATCAGACTGATGGACCAGAATCTGAAGTGTCTGAGTGCTGCTGAGGAAAAGTACTCTCAAAAAGAAGACAAATATGAGGAAGAGATAAAGATTCTTACTGATAAACTCAAGGAGGCAGAGACCCGTGCTGAGTTTGCTGAGAGATCTGTAGCCAAGCTGGAAAAGACAACTGATGATTTGGAAGATAAACTGAAGTGCACCGAAGAGGAGCACCTCTGTACACAAAGGATGCTGGACCAGACTCTGCTTGACCTGAAGGAGATGACGAGCACCTCAGTCCCGCCCTGCCGCTGCTCCTTACTTTGGTCGGGACTCAGACTTGACTCCGCCTGAGGCCAGCCTGCTGGAAGCTGACCTTTAAACTGAGGGCTGATCTTTAACTGGAAGTTGCTTTCTCCTCCCTCCGTTCCAATGCACCCACCCCTCCCCAGTCAGGTCTTTTTTTGTTTTTTTTTTTCTGCCAAACTGTCTCTGCCTTTCCTCAGAGACTCCGACTTGGGTAGGGGCTGAGTACCTTTGGGAACATTTAAGGGAACGTGAGCGCAGTGCAAGTGTCTTTAAAAGCACGTTGTGATGTACACATTTTGTAATTAACTTTTTGGTTATGATAGCAACCATTTGTAAAACAATCCAAATAACTCCACAGCTCCCAAGCAGCAGTCTAATCCCTTTCTTACTTTTGGAAGGTAACTTGTCAGCTTAATACGTATTACCCTCTGTATAGAGTAGGGAAAGAAGTGTGGGCCCGCCTTACTGAGAGCAGAACACAGCCAAGGGGAAGACTCCCCTATGGGAACCTTCACTGCGCTGTATAAAGCACCAGCCGAACCAGAAAGGTGATTCCAGGAGGAGTTAGCCAAAACAAATTTTAAAAAGTGCTGTTCGGGTTTTCAGCTTTAAAGTATCTAGAAACAAGGTAATTTTAATTTTATTTTTTTCATCAGAAGTGACCAAACTAGTATGATGAGGCCTCTGTTTGAGACCAAATCATTGTCCCATCCTTTCTCTACCCTCTTCCCAGCTAGTCACAGAATGGATCGCGTGCCCCTATGTTTGAATGATCACTTATTTGCTCTCCTGCCACCTTTTTAAAAAGACAAAAAGAAAATTACGTTTTACCACTGATTTAGTCATATGAAACTCATCTCGTTACCCTATTCTGGGTCTGAAGCTGCTGTTTCTCAAACTGCCGTCTCAAAGGGCTTTGTATCAGTCAGGGCTGGAGAAATCTTGAATAGCTTAGTACAAAACTTTTTTGAAATTTTATATTATTTTGAAACATTGTTTCTTTGGGGTTGGTGTGCACTGACCACCCCATCTGGCTGTGCGTCCTCTCTACAGTCTGTAGGCTGGCAGTGTGCTGACCTGTTTAACGACTTAATATTAAATTACTTAATATTAAAGCTGTTTCATACTTAATATTAAATTGACAAATTTAATACGGTAAAAAATAAAGTTATTACAGTAGTCACAAGGTGTTTAAAAACCACACTTGTTTTACTAAGTGATGTGAAATAGGTCACTATTGCTTATTAATATAAACATTTTACATTATGGATTTTTTTTTCCTGTTCTATTTTCAATAATTAGTCCCTGAAACAGTGAGAAGTAAAATGTTAGACAGGGTACATGATTTTGCATTGCTGAAAATGCTTTCCAGTGTTCTCAGAAAGTCAGCTCATGGGCCCTTAGTGACTAATATGCCAAGAAGCAGGACTAAGCTGGGAGACAGGTGGTTCCAGTCAGTTTCCCGTGGGTGTGTACTTGTGATGGTAACTGTCACCGTCTATGAATACTAGAGTCATTATACTACTGTAGTCATTATCTTGGTGGGTATAAAATTTTAACCTTTAGAATTGACGTCGTTAGGTGCTGTCAAGTCAGTTCCCACTCATAGCAACCCTGTCTGCGATAGAACAAAACACTGCTCAGTCCCGCGCCATCCTCACAATTGTTGCTGTGTTTGAGCCCATTGTTGCAGCCACTGTGTCAACCCATAATTACACAATTATGGATCTCACAGTTACAATCACTGCATTCAACTTGTTTTTAAGTAGTGACATTCCAAAATAGAGGATCCATTCTGGTGTCACTCCCATGTTGCTTTAATGTGATATCTAATTACTTAAATGTGTTTCAGCTCTTCAGTTACTGTCATTATAGCAAGTCCCAGTAATAAGCAATGATTACTCAGGGAGATGTGTTTACCTCAGGAGGATGAAAGCATTTGTGCTGCGTTCTAAGTGTGTACTCTGCCAGAATGCCTAAACTTACTCACCACTGGTGTGTGCAGATAGTTCTATTTTAAGGATAAAAATGTACCTGGAGGGTTTTTTAACCAAAGTAGGGAAAAACAAAAAACGAAACTCTTTAATAGGTTCCCATGGCTCCTTGGGTGAAGGCTTTGACTCCCTGTAGCTATCAGGGTAAAGGTAGAAAGTCCCCCTGAACTCATTACTCCTCTATTTCCTCCCTTACACCATACGCTCCAAGCTTGGGTTGGCCACTTGTATTCTCGAAATCGCTGTTTCCTCATACCACCTGAGCTTCACTCAAGATGTTCCTTTTGCCTAGTATATGTGAGTATCCTTGGTGCTATCAAAACATTATGGCTCTTAGTCCTTAACAATGACAATAACAAAGATTATTTTTTGTTACAATTAGTTTTTCACAGATTTTTCCTCCACGTCTCCCAGATTTAAACTCGAAAAGGGCAGGAATATTGTCTTTATCATCTTTTTTATTCTCAGAAGTTAGGTTCAGCACATAGTTGACATTCAGGAAATGTTTGATGAAATCTGCAGCTCTTTGGGAAACCTTCACTGACCCTTTCAAATCAGGCTGTGTTTCTATCATAGCACTATCCGTTGTGTGACCCTTATTAATAAATTCCTCAATAGTAGGATCCGAAAATAAATCTCTTTTGACCCTCAGTACTTAGCACCTGATATTCATGCAGAATACTCAATGTTTGTCAAAAAATGACATACCTAATATGTTTTGGGAGTCCCCAGGTGTGTAAATGGTTAATGAGCTAGGCTGCTAAGCAAAAGGTTGGTGGTCCAAGTCTACCCAGAGAACCCTTGAAAGGAAGGCCTGGTGATCTCCTTCAAAAAATCAACCTTTGAAAGATCTATGGAGCACAGTTCTACTCTGACACACACAGGTCACCAGGAGTTGGAATCAACTCCATGGCAACTGTTTTTTGTTGTTTGTTTTTTAATGTTATTACAAAAAAATGTAATTGGTGTTAAGGGCATAGGAATTTTTTTTCTTTCTATCCTTTCTTGTAATTTGACATAAAGTTAGTATTAAATGGGGAGAGATAGTTTAACAAACTTTGTAGAAGTAGTAAATCACCAGTAATGTCTTTAATAAGGAGCCCTGATGGTGCAGTGATTAAGCACTCAACTGCTAACCGAAGGGTCAGCAGTTTGAATCCACCAGTGGCTCCTTGGTAGAAAAGACCTGGTGATCTGCTCCTGTAAGGCCTAGAGCCTAGGAGACCCTATGGGGCAGTTCTACTGTCTCCTACAGGGTCACTATGAGTCAGAATCGACTCGATGGCACACAATGTCTTTAATTTATGGTCTATCGATATCAAAGAATCAATTCATAACTGTTGTGCCCAGAATAATCTTTAAATTATCTAATATGAGTAAGTAAAGGATTGGATAACTCGCTAAGGACTGTGTTTATATTTTTGAGATGACACTCCCTATGAATTATTAAAATACTAGCAGCTCCAAGAAAAGCCATTAATGTTTGATGACATGATCCAATGAATATTTACTAAGTAATTTTAAAGTAGGAAGGCACTAGCGTATGTTCATTTGTGGATACAAAGTTATGTATATTCCTTACAGAGCAATTAAGAGAGCAGATAGTTAATGACAGGCTCTGTATCTAAAAAAAGAAAGGGCAGAGGTGGTTCACTGGTAGAATTCTCACCTTTCATGTAGGAGACCTGGGCTCAATTGCTGGCTAATGCATCTTATTTGCAGCCAACACCTGTCAGAGGAGGCTTGCATGTTCCTGTGATGCTGATCAGGTTTCAGAGGTACTTCCAGACTAAGAAACTAGGAAGAAAAGCCTGGCAATGTACTTCCAAAAATCACTCAGTAAAAACCCTGTAGATCACAATGGTCTGATCTAAGACCACTCGTGAGGATGGCGCAGGATTGGGGAACATTTCATTCCTTTGTGCACTGAGTTGCCATGAGTCAGGGAGATTCCATGGCAGCTAAGGATCACCACCTTCATGTAGTCATTCTTACTTCCTCTATCCCATCCCCACTATCTCTGCCAATTTTATGTGTGTGTGTGTGTGTATATATGTACACACACATACTTGTATATTGCAGAGCTCCATAAAGATTTTATGTGTGTGTGTGTGTGTGTGTGTACATGTGTGTATACATATATGGAGGGAGCCTTGGTGGTGTAGTGGTTAAGAGCTCGGCTGATAGCCAAAAGGTTGGCAGTTCGAGTCTACCAGCTGGTACTTGAAAACTCTATGGGGCAGTTCTACTCTGTCCTGTAGGGTCACTATGAATTGGAATTGACTTGATGGCAACGGGTTTGAGTTTTGCACATATACATGCGTGTGTGTGTGTGTATACATATATATATACACATACACACATATTTATGATTGAATTCCTCTACTCAATTTATTATTTCTTTCCTTTCTCTTATTTCTTCCCCATGGTTGAAAATGACACACTGGAATAGAGCTAAGCACTGTAGTCATAAAGAGTAAGTTTCCAAAGTACAAAGCAGCACATCTTCTTCTAGAAGGTTTCTTTATTATTTTCAGGGAGTAACTGAATGAAACAACCAGAGATAGAGCCAAACTTCAGTAAATACATCATTCTAAATAACTCTTTTCTTTCTAGAACATCTGGCCAGGGTGATCTAGGACTTACATGTATGGAGACTATGGACTGGTCATTGCCTCTGAGGGAAAACATTACCCTCAAGTATATTATATAAAGCATAAATTACTGTCCACTGATTAGCTATGTGAGAAGGTAGAAAATTTAATACATCTGCTTTTTAAAGCTAGATTAATACAACTGGCATTCTTGGTATTTGTGATTGGTTCTTAAGATTAGACTCCAAATCACTGTAATACGAATTCATAACTTGAAAAATTTATAGGATCATATTTTAAAGAAACTCATCTATTCTTCCATAAAATAACTTCCATGTGTTTTTCCTTCCTATGATTTTTTTTTAAATTGTACTTTAGATAAAGGTTTACAGAACAAATAGCTTCTCATTAAACAGTTAGTACACCTATTGTTTTATTACAATGGTTAACAACCCCACAACATGTCAACATTGTCCCTTCTCAACCTACCAGCTTTCTTGTCCCCTCCTGCCTTCTAGTCCTTGTCCCTGGACTGTTGTGTCCCATTAGTCTCATTTTGTTTTATGGGGCTGTCTAATCTTTGGCTGGATGGTGAACCTCGGGAGTGACTTCATTAGTGAGCTAAAAGGGTGTCCGGGGACCATACTCTCAGGGTTTCTCCAGTCTGTCAGGCCAGGAAGTCTGGTCTTTTTTTGTGAGTTAGAATTTTGTTCTACATTTTTCTCCAGGTCTGTCTGGGACCCTCTGTTGTGATCCCGGTCAGAGCAGTCAGTGGTGGTAGCTGGACACCATCTAGTTGTACTGGACTCAGTCTAGTGGAGGCCGTGGTAGTTGTGATCCATTAGCCCTTTGGACTAATCTTTCCCTTGTATCTTGTTTTCTTCATTCTCCCTTGCTCCCGGAGGGGTGAGACCAGTGGAGTATCTTAGATGGCTGCTCACAGATCCCAGACTCCTATGATTTTTTTATAGTACATATAAACAGAATAAATATGGGAGCAATGGATTACATACAGTTCTATGGCTTCTTTCTTTCATAATTTTTATATGCGATAATCTCATATTTTAGTAGTCCTGTCATCTCCTGAAAGCAGTCCCTGGATTTTCTTCCCTTCTTTCACCTCAGAACACAACTTTAGATACATAGTACTTTATTCGTTTTAAATAATGCTGACTCTTTCACTTGTGTTTTATCACTAAGAAATGCAGGATGAAATAAATTCTGTGTGCCTTACATAGGCGTGCTTGCCAAAGTCCACCTGACAATTTAAAGTTTAGAAAGACACGTTAACGTGGCATTTGAAATCTAATCTCTCTATACTGCAGAGCTCTATGAAGACGTACAAGGTTTTTTTTTTTTGTAACTATATCAATGGTTATAAATTCAATCTAATAACACAAATAGGAGAATTTACACTCCCCAAGTACAAACAGTTTAACAAGCCTTCAAAACAAACATAAAAGATGTTGACTCTTGAGACTCCAGTACTCAGAACTAAAACCGAGGCTATTTAAGGTTTCGAGAGCGAAGTTATGTCAGTAGGCCACATCAATTAATGAATTCCAAATCTAAGTACTAAGTTCCTCAGAGCCCAAAGGTTCAAAGTACCAAAAGGGTCAAAGACTAGGCTGGGAATAATAATGAAACCAGTTTATTTAATTTCATACTTCATTCATATTTCAAAAGTTACACATATCTGGTTCAAAGATAAGACATAAAGGTTTTAATACAAGTTGCATAAAAACAGGAATGGGGTGTGTTAATCACAGAAAGGCTCTCAAATGGGAGAAAGCTAACATTGTGTGAACTAGGTAGTTACTCCATTTTCAAAGTTAGCAGAAACTTCTCAGATGTTATTTATGACTAATAATTCTATATACTTTTGTAGATACTTGTTTTATTTCTTTTTAGAAGAACAAGTTTATGAAAATAATCAATACCACCTCAATAAAATATACAATCCCAATTTTAGATGAATATGTACTAGCAGCACAGAGAAGAAGAGATTTATTTTCAGGGACATTCAAGGCCTTCATTGATCATCAGTACTGCAAAAAAGTACATGTTCATCACTATTAGAAATAAACAGTAACAGGAGATAGCCTTTCTTTTTATGGCAGGGTAGAATATTAGAAGTGAACAGAGAAACATGCAACTGAAGACAGCCAGGGCTTTTCATCTACAGGATATACAGTAAGCCCCCACCTGTGTCATGCTCAGAAGTGAGGTTGTGTTGATGAGTTCACAGTCCATTCGGCAATGAGTGGGGCCAAGGGAAGAGCTGGAGAAGAAGAGAAAGGTTAGCCTAGGGCAGGCTGGGCATGGAGATGAGGGGCTAAACTTCAACTATAACATAAGCTCCTTTCTCCCCATCTCTCCACTATGGGCAGCAGAGCTCAGATGTAGAGAGACAGACCAAAGGCTCTCCTTCCTTCCATAGCAGGAGTCTAGGGTCTGACCTGCTCTGTCATCCTTTCTCATGCTGCTGGCTCCTAGGAGCTGTGGCAAGCTCACATATCCAGCAGTTTGTGGGCCGCTGGCCTTGGGGAGACATGGTATGGGAAGAAGGTGAGGCCTAGCTTCCAGTTTGCCCCCTCCTATTTGTCTTGTCCTTCATTCACCTGGGGGGTCACACCTCTGTCTCCTGCAATGTTGTCCCCAGTGTTCTGGTGCTGGGGCCCAGTCAGTTGTTGGGCCTTATCTTCAAGGAGATCCTGGCGGAGGGGCACCCCCTGCAATGGCTGCGGCTCTGCCTCTGCCCCAGGCAACAGCGTTTTATTCTGAAGGGTGTATAAAAGCTGGAGGAAGGCCTGGTGTCTGGGAAGAGAAGGGGGATCTGAGAGGGGGAACCTCAGCTGGACCACCCTAGCCTACAGCCTATACTCCTAGCCTCACCTCTGCAGCTTGTCCTGCTCCTGCCCTGCCTGATGCTTCAGGCTTCTGAGTTCCTGATATAGCCGATCAACCTCCTGCTGAGTTCCTCTCTGACGATCTCTTACTTCTGCCAGATGCTGTAGACGCTTCTCCTGCCAGGAACAAGGGTGCAGACAAGGCTCATAAGGAGTCAAAATCTTAGAGCCACCGCCCCCTCACCCCCCCCAACCCCAACACACACATGCACACACACAAACCCTTCATCCTAGACCCAGCTCAGGACTCGGACCTACAGAGGGAAAGAAGGACCTTGATAGCTTTGGGCAAGAGCAAGGGCCTAGAGAAAAGAAAGGGTAAGAATAAGCTTTCCCAGGGTGAGGTGCTTTGGACAGAAGGGACACAAAGATGATAATACTTATTTAGCTTGCTGTACTCCAGGTACCATTTTAAGCACTTTCTGTAATGATAATTTACTAAATCCTCCTAACAACTCTATACGGCAGGTATTATTATTGCCCCCATTTCATAGATGAAGAAACAGATGCACAGAAAGTTCGGTGACCTGCCAAAGGTCATGTAGAGGTAAGCGGTGACACCTAGGATTCAAGCCTATGCTGTTAATCCACTATACCACCAAACACAAGAAAATCAGATGCAGCTTTAATAGGCAGAGAACACACTCCACATAATTACATGCTGCTGGGAGGGGATGCTCTCATAGGGAGATGGACCCACCTGTTGCAGCTGCCACTGCTTCTGGGCTTCTCTGAGTTTCTCCATGGCCACTTGCTTCTGTGGGCAAACATGACAGGGGTTGGGCAGAAAGGTAGTATATTTTTCTGGTTGGATTTTGGAAGGTGAGAAGTGGGTCCAACTCAGCTTGCTCACCCTTCCCCTCCCTTTGCCCCATGCAAGGCCCCTGAGTGGACCTTGGCCTGGAGCTGCTCAAGGGCTTCCTGGAGCTGTGCCCGCTTCCTCTGGGCCTCCTCCATCTGGGGCAGGGCCTGCGTCAGGGCACATGTGATGGCCTCCACGTGCTCCTGGTAGGTGGCCTTCAGCTCTTTCCAGTGTTCCTTGGCTTCAGTTGCCTTTTGCCCTGATATAAGACACCAGAAATGAGGGCATGGGTGAAGCTGGCCTGCTTGCCTCCCTGCAATACTGGGGCCATCAGCAAACAACTGACCTGACACCCCTCTTCCTTCCTCACTCAGGCCAGACCCTACCCCAACCCCGTGCCTACTCACGGCTTATGTCTTCAGAAGCCAAGGGGTCCAGACCCTGGGCAGTGTCCTCGTGCACCAGGAAGCCCTGCAGGAAGTCCACTACCTGTAGCTGGTTACACAGCAGCTTGTCCTTCTTCCGGGAGTCCTGTTCAGAGGGAGGGTAAAGACAGGGAGCATCCTCTCCTCATTGCACTATAATCCAACAAAGCTGCTTTCCTGACTGCTCCCCATAAACGCTGCCCAGAATCTCCACATGAGGACCCAGGGCCAGCCCCCGGCTTCCCATCTTGTACATACCATCACAAACTCAGCCAGGATCTCTGAGGGCAGCTCTGCCTCCTCCTGCAAGCCTACAGGTTCCAGGATGGTGCTCACCTCAGCCAAGGCCCTGGAAGGGCAAGAAAACAGGGGCAACTGCATTCTCCTAGAGTGCTAGTTCTGAAAAAAGTGTCTGTACATGCAAATATGTGTTTGTAGCAATGTTGACAGTTTCTCTCTCCCTCCAGCCAAGGTGTACACAAGGGCCTGAGGAGCCCACCCTTAGGACCAAGGGTAGTGTGTGTATGGATGTGCCATGAGAGGAAAACCCTATGGGGCAGTTCTATCCTGGAACAATGGGGTGGAATAGGAATCAACTCCATGACTTCCAACTACAACAAAGGGAACAAGGAGTGTGGGGGGAGGGAATGTAACTTTAAAAACAGGCAGTGTCTCACTTAGGAGGCACCATTTGAATCTAGATCTTAAGGCAGTCAGGGAGATACGCAGGGGAAGGGAAGAACAAGAGCAATGTTTTGACAGGCCATGGAGGTACCTACTGGCAGGGAGCACTAGTCTTGGGGCAGAATCTCCGGTTACATGAGCAGGGGCTGTCCAGGTTCCTTCTCCTTAGGGGACTCGGCAGCCCCCTGGGGGTAGGTATGGGGATGAAATAACCCAGGGGGTTTGTGACTGTGTGTGTGCGCTCGCGTGTGTGTAGGGAAGGGCTGAGACAAAAATTAAATGGCCCTCCAGGATGTCTCCTGGGGGGGAAACCCTCGCCTGGATGAGGCGACCTGCGAAGGGATGCGGAGGGTCGACAGGGACTGAACTGCTTCCTTCTAGGACACACCCCTGAGGAGAGTGTATATATGGGGAGCGACCAACAGTCTCTAGGTCGAACTCCTGTGAAGGGCAAGAGTCACCTCAGGAACCTAAGACGGGGGACAAGGGTCAGGACCCCTTTCCCGCGCTGTCGAGTCCCAGCTGTCGTGCGGGGGGAGGAAGGAGTCTCCACAGTACGTGGGAGCATGTACGTCCTTCCCGTTCATCCCCGGCTATCCCTGGCGGGAGACACTCACTTTAAGGCCGCTGCCTCCACTTCAGTCGCAAGCGCTTCCATCCTTCTCGGCGTCTGGCTTCCGCTTACCTTGTCTCCGCCCATTTCTCAGGCTGCTTTGAATTCTCCGCGAACTGCGCGCCGGGGCAGGCGATTGGCTCCCAGGTAAATGGGCGGGAAACAAAGACCATTGTGCTCTCTGATTGGCAGGCGCAGATTCACGCATTGGCCCGCCCTACGTTTGGCGCAGGCGCAATTGCAGCTGGGCGCCCGCCGTCGCTCGCGGATTCTGCGACTGCGCGGTCGCTCGTAGGCGGTGCCGGCAACTTGAGTGAGTCGGAACACGGTCGCCCTTCTCCCGCGTTCTATACAATGAACGCGTAGGAGGCTGGAGTGTTACTTTGTTTTGGGGTTTTAGGGGACGTGCCTAGAATTCACTTCATCTAAAAAAATTTACTGTGGTAGAGGAGTAGGACTGTCTTCCAAGACGGTGGGCATCCGTTAAACGAAGAAGAGTGAACTTGGAGACACAGGGAACAAATGAGGTGAGCTCAATGATTTTCCAGTTTACTGTCTTTAGATGTTTTCCAGGATGCAGTGCAGGGAGAGGGAATCTAAACAGAGCTCAGCGGACTACCTGAGTGGACAAGGTGGACCTGAAATTCCAGGGAAACTAAAGGAGCTAATGGTCTCTACAGAGTATACGGTAAAGGAGATAACTGCTCAGAGAGAACTCGGGAGATCTTCAGAGGGCTTCCTCCGGGTTTCAGCCGAGTACTGATCAGCGTGTGTCTGAGGAAACTACCCGATGCTACCTAGGGAAAGAATCACTGGAAAGGTTTAAAGGTAACAGTGCGTGGAGATCACACCGAGGCAAGAATAGTGACTTTTCCATCAGTCAGGATGGACAACTTCATAATCCCTGGGGCATTGAGTAGAGTACATAGATAGGTCTTGCCTAAGGAGTAGGGAGTAATTAGCCCTAGACAGATCACTGCTCCAGTGCCACCTACCAAGTGTTAAAGTAAGACCTAAATACATCAAAGTGTTTACAAGTCACTTAACTACATGACAGACCAAAGTTCAATAATATTTGTAGGAATGCAAAAATATCCAGCAGCCAATAAGTACAATTTACAGTGTCTGGCATTCAATTAAATTACCAGGCTTGAAGAGAAGAAGGAAAATAAAACCCATAATGAGGAGAAAGATCAGTCACTGGCCAGAACTGAAACAGATGTCGCAATCAACAGACAAGGACATTAAAACAGTTGTAACTTACTCCATATGATCAAAAAGTTAAGCAGAGCTATAATCAAATAGACCATCAAGAGTGGTATTAAGGATGTGGAGAAAATGGAACTCATTTATTGCTGGTGGGAAGATAAAATAGTGCATCGGTTTTGAAAAGGTTTAGCAGTTTCTCTAAATGTTAAGCCTAGAGTTAACTATATGACTCAAAATTCCATCCCTAGGCATATATCCAAGAGAAATGAAAAGATACATTCATGCAAAAACTTGGACACAAATGTTTATGGCAACATTTTTCATAATTGTAAAGTGGAAACACAACAAATACTGATCAACTGGTGAATGGAAAAACAAATATATCCATTCAGTGAAATATTATTGGGCAATAAAAGGGAATGAGGTACTAATACCAGCTACAACATCGATGAACCTTGAAAACATTTTGCTAAGTGAAAGAAATCAGTCACAGAAGCCCACTTTTTGTATGAGTCCATTTATATAAAATGTCCGGATTAGGCAGATCTATGGAGACAGAAAGGAAATTAGTGGTTGCCTAGGGTTGGGGGGAAGAGGGTGGTGGGAAAGAGTGGGGAGGGACCATTCATGGGTATAGGATTTCTTTGTGGGGGGGATGATGAAAATGTTCTAAAATTTGATTATAGTGATGATTGCACAGCTCTGTGAATATGGCAAGTAACTGTGGTGGCCACTAGGACCTGACGGTGAACTCTAACTGGCAACTGGTAAGAAGGTGGGGCCCTCAGTCATACAGCCAGGAGGAGATGAATTTTGCTAACAGTCTAAGTTTAGAAGCAGATTCTTCTAACTGAGCCTCCAGAAAAGAACACAACCTGACCAGTACCTTGATTGCAAACTTGTTAGACCCTGAACAGAACCTAAAACCCTGACCCTTGGAAACTGTTTGGAATTTTGACCCATGGAAATTGTAAGTTAATAAATGCGTGCTCTTTTAAGTCACTAAATGTGTGGTAATTTGTTTAAGAAGCAATAAAAACTTATCTATAAGCAACTACTAAAATAACAAAATAAAAAGTTACAGCTAATCAACCAATAAAGGGGAGGAAATGAAATCATAAATGCTATTCAATTAATTCAAAAGAATGCAGAAAAAGAGAAAAAAGGGAACAAAGAAGAAATGAGAGGAATAGAAAACAAATAAAGTAATAGAGTTAGAACTAATCATATAAATAATCATTAAATTTAAGTGGCTTAAATACAGAATTAAAAGGCAGAAATCACCAGATTGGATACAAAAGCAAGACTCAACTATATCTGGCAATCAAGAAATACACTAAATGTAAAGACACAAATAGATAAAAATAAAAGGAAGGAAAAATGTATTGTGCCAACACTAACCAAAGAATGCTGGAGTCAGTCTCTCTCTTTCCCTCTCTTTCTATATATCTCTATGTCTATATATATACTTAGAGGAAAGTCTATTACCAGAAATAAAGGAAGTGATTTCATAATAATAAAATTGATAAATGGGTCATTCATCAAATAGAATTAACAATGATAAATGTTCATGTACCTAATAAGAGACCTTCAAAATACAGTAGTCAAAAACTGAACTGCAAGGATAAATACATAAATCTATTGTTATAGTCAGAGATTTCAGTAATCCTCTGACAATAATTGAGAAAGCATTACACCCAACAACAGCAGAACATTCATTCTTTTCACATGCACACTGAACACGCCACAAGAAAATCCATATTATGGGTAATAAACCTTAACAAATATGTATGAATAGAAATCATATAAAGTATGTTTTCTGTCTGTAATGGAACTAGTGTCCTATATACCTTTGAGCATAACAATACTCTCTACTGGAGTAGTCTTGTTTTCAATCTAATTAAGTCAATATTTCTTCAGTTATCTGCTCAAATTTCTCAACCATGCTCAAACCCTCCTTTACTTCTACGTCTATATCATACCTCCTTATCATAGGCTTCTGAAGTTCTATGATATTTTACTACTTGTCCCAGTTGTATTTTTACATTTGATAGTGGAATTATTTGATCGCTGCCTTTTTTCTAATCAGCAAGCTTATTGAGAGCAAGAGGTGGATATATTTTTGGACACTAACACATGACTGATAGTAAACAGTGAATAATAATTAGTTATATGCATGTTGTGGAAGGGGCAGTTTATGCAAGGCCTTATTAAGCCATTTTAAAGGTGCTGTTTTTTTTCTTAAGAGCAATAGAAAGCCATTACAGGTTTCTTTAGTTATTTGATGGCAAGTAAGATTTCGGTAATGGAAAAGTTGAGCCTGGACTCTGGGTAGAAATAAAGAAGACTGGGAAATGATAGCTATTCTAGTATCCCTAGTGAAAGGTGGTTTTCACTTTTTATTTTTACATTTTTGAATTCTATTATTTTGACAGGTGAAGTGACAGTGGAGATAGAAATAACTGGATGCATTTAAATGGAACAATCAATAAATTTTTATAATTGATTGGATCTGGTTATGTTGGAGTTAATAAACTATGTATCAGATATGATACCTAGATTTCTAACTGCAAATGGATGAATTGCATCGCAATGTTTTCAGATAGTGATTTCTGAAAGAGCATTCTGTTTGAAGATTGATAGGGAAAGATCATTAATTTGTTTTGTTGACCTAATTTGAGGGTTTTTTTTTTTTTTTCTATCTGAGTGGATCTTTTAAAAAGACACTTGGGCAAGTGGGTTTATTGCTTGGAAGAAGGTCAGAACTGGAAATATATACATTTGATAGTCATAAATATATAGACAAAGCCATGGGATTGGATGCCATTTCCTAAGTTGGTAGTATAGAGTGAAAAGAAAAGATTGCTGGAACCAGTACTTGAGTAACTGACATATTATGGATTTGTGGAGAAAGAATAGCCTTCTAGGAAGTGTCTACTGTGGTAAGAGAAAAATCAGTCAAGTATGGTATGCTGTATACAAGGGCCAAGAGGCTTTCCAAAAAGAGAGGGGTCATCATGCCAGATCATAATGTGAAGTCAAGTAAGATAGGATGGAAATTATTGATTTGATTGAGCAACATGATGATTATTAGATTCTTTGTGACAGGTGTTTCATAAAATAATTAGAGCAGTAAATCCAGATTATATAGAACAAATGTAAAGTAGATTGTATAGAAACATTATATACAGCAGCAAAGAAACAGATATTTACTATAGAAAGTTCTTAGGAGATTTTGGCCAAATATACTAGGATACAGTTATGCTAATTATCAACACTAATCAAAGTATGACTACTCTCAATTGCAATTTTTATTGTATATGTATTTCTAATCTATTGATAAACGCTTTCTCTGTGCTTTCCACTGCCTGTCAGTTTGTCATACCCTGGTAGCTTGAGTATTGCTGTGATGCTAGAAGCTATGCCCCTGGTATTTCAAATACCACCAGGGTCACCCATAGTGGACAGGTTTCAGCAAAGTTTCCAGAATAAGACAGACTAAGAAGAAAGACCTGATTATCTGCTTCCAAAAATTTGCCAATAAAAACCTTATGGATCAAAAAGAATGTCTGTCTCGCTGGAGGCGAATGCTATGTTTGGTGAAGTAGAGGACCAGCAAGGGCAAGGGAGACCCTCGGTGAGATGAACTGGCACAATAGCTGCAATGATGGACTAGGACAGGCCAGCAATCGTGACGATGAGTCATGACGGGCAACGTTTTGTTTTGTAGTACGTAGGTCATCATGAGTTGGAGTCCACCCCATGGCAGCTGTTTATCTGTCTGTGCTTTCCATATAGAATCTTCTTCCTTGATTTTTTAAGAATTATTCCTGCTTGATGTA